TTCAATGTTTACAGTTATATCATCAGCAAATATCGTTGTATGAGATTTAAGGAAATTAAAAAAATTAATTAATTTCTTGTTTTGTCTCTTATCAACCAATCTCATTTTTAGATAAGGAGCCTAGGTTGGTACTCGTTGTATGAATTAACATATAATATTTTAAATTATTGAGTTATAAGCAGAGGCCGATTTCCCATTAGGCACTGTAGGCAGCTGCCTAGGGCGGCAAAATTTGAGGGTGGCTAATTTTGTAGTGTTTTATTAGAAAACATCAAACGTATGCAAAAAAAATTGGAAAATTATTTACTTTATAATTACGAAAAATAATTGTATAATAATGGGTGTATTCTGTTAATATGTTATCGTCGGAATTTCGGGAAAAAATAAATACCCCCAGTGCCATACTATATTACTAATTCGACTGTGTATTAAAAATCCTACTCTGTTATTATGAAAATCTGTTTTTATTAAAATTTGGTGGACATCCATTGACATTTTTTCAAAGTATTAAGTTTTTCAAATATCTTTGGAAAACTAAACATTAAACCACACTTAATGGAAAAATAATCAATACCTATATAACCCGAAACCAAATAGAAAAAATGTCAAGTGATAAAACAATGGATAGTTGAAGTATATTAACAATTGGTAGTATTAAGTATTGGGTAGTTTTAGTTTAATTTGGTTTAATTTTAATCATTACCTATAATATGATTTTATTTGTGTGATTATAATGGATTATTTTTCGTTGAATATTTTAGTGTGAATATTTTGTCCGTAGATTTTTTGACCAAATACTACGTGTGGAAAATGTTCTTTTTTTTAATGAAAATTAAACTAAGCAAATCTAATTATTGGTAGTTTTTTTTTTATTATCCGTTTTAAAGCCCTTATTTGATGAAGGGAAATTTTTTTTGTCCAAAGATTCTGAAAATATTCCATCTGTATCCAAAATTTCATTATGTTACTAATTAAGATTAGTAAATAGTAAATAAGTTACATTTTAAGTTGAAAATTTATGTAAAAATAGTAAATTCCGTAAAAATCATAGAGCTAATAAATTATACTAAACGCTTATAAAATCAAATCCTAACCATTGATTTTTAAAATTTTTTCTGTAACCTAAGTAAATGAGTAAGGTGATATTACATTTTCAAGTATTAATATCTAGAAAAAAAAATTGTCATTACATTAAACTTTATATTTTAAAACTAATATTTTATATTTAAACCAAATGTGTTAAACCTTTTTTTTAAATATTTTCAAACATGAGAAAACATTTCTTTGATATAAGGTTAAAGTTTTAAGTTTTTAGTCACATTACTTTTGGAGTTATGACTAAATAATTCACATGAAAAGTGAAAGTCTCATTTTCAGAGCACTTTTCACGTTTTTATTCGGGTTTTCGACAGTTTTTCTCATGCTATAAATTATTAAGATCTTGGAAAAATTAACTCTCTAAAGTACCACCATAAGATAATTTTTAATTTAAATAATTGTTAGATGACATTTTTGGATCAGTATATCTATTCGAAAAAGTGTTTACAGAAAAGAAAAAAACAAAGCTTGTAAAACCATAAGATTCTTCGCTTCACTTAGAATCTAAAATCTTAATTTATTGTTGTTATCAAAAAGAATCGTTTAATTTCAAAAATGAGTACATAGTTTAAAAAATAGAATTAGGTACTCAAATAGATGTTCATGCTTTATGGCATTATTAGTAATAGTTATTAGATATTTAATGTATACATTTTTTATAAAAAACAAAGATATGTGTTAAAACAATTTTAAATTAAAACTGTTTTTGTAAAACTTCACTATTTCTATAAAAATGTAATATTATTCTATTTTAGTGTTAATAAAAACCATTAATATGTTAAAAAAAAAAATCCTTGATTTATCACTGTCTTTAAACCTAAATACGAATCCCATATCACTGATGATTGCGTGTAAGTACCCATTTTTTCTGTGCGTGTCGGTGGGTTATTTAATACTTAAATGAATGAATAACGGATTTAATTCTTTGTCATTATCTGTGATTTATTTTGTTTTGCATAAATCTTTATTAAATGTAAACGTTCGCACATACACACTTACACACACACACACACACACGTACGTACGCACGCACGCGCACACTCACACTTGCACACTCCCACAAACATATATTTCCCCCCAAATGAAATAATTTGGGCCGTTAAACAAAAGTAAGAAAAACTAGTCTATAAGAGAGTAATTTACCACCTAGTGTCAAGTCAGTTGTTCATGTAACAAGATACCTGTTAGTCTGTATCCTCGTGGAAGGTCTACTGAATATCGTTAATTCTTTATTCCGTATTTACGTATGATATAATTAAAATATTAAGTAAAGATTGTAGTTTAAGGTACACATTTTTTAAATTTAAATATTTATCCGTCATTACTCTAAATTATAAACTGTATGCAGTTGTAAATATTATTTAAAGTGTTATATTATTTATCTTTTATTTCTTTTTTCTTTTTTTAATATTAAAAACGATTAATCTATTCTATGTGAAATCATTGATGTAGCTATCGTTAACGTTATTTCGATTGGATTATAAAAATGCGACAACATTGTGACTATGAAGACCATCAGTGTATATATATGACCTACAATTGATCAGTCCGAAAAAATTTCTCGAAATAAGAAAAATGCGAAGTGCATAACATCAAAGAGATGTAATTTTTCAATATCCAAGTTTATGGCTTCGAGCAATTATTTTGTACTTCAAAAGATTGTACGTGGAAATAATTAAACTCGTAATGTGGAGTCGGAAATCCGTATTCATTGTGCTATCAATTTGTATCGTACAGACAAACAGTATTCAATGGCTGTAAGTATTAATATTGTATAATAATTATAAATGTACAATGATATTTAATAAAAAATAAGTAGTTCATCGTATTCAGTTATTTATTATATAGGCTGGATTGAATTATAATGTTCTATTTAGATACCTAATTAAATAAGTATGCCCATGGTGTTAAGAAAAAAACTTATAATGTACCTTTTTTTTCTGATAAAATACAGTATTTTACCTGGTTTATATTATTACTTACCAAGATAAAATTTCAAAGTTAATAATTTTTTTTATTTGTATATTATTGTTTTATTTTAAACTTCTCGAACTCTCTTTTGGTTTCAGTCTTAAAATAGAAAGTTTGTTCGACCATCTTAAAAACAAATCAAGATATTAAAATATACATAATTGAATTAGATGTATCTAACATGTCTACGTATTATTTAGTTACTTTAATAAATCATAACTTCAAGATCAATACTTATTTAAATTTCTTACTCATGTCATGGTTTAATTGTTATACAGCCGATAACAGTATCATATAAATATATAGACATTTTAAAACATCATAAAGATATGGTCAAATAATATTATACAATAATATTTGTAATTGCTTATTGCTTATTGCTTATTGCTTATATTTGATCCTCATACATTTATCATGTAGGACTTATTAATTTTTCTGGGTTTTTGATTTTTTTAATAAACAAACTTATTCATGACGATTGTTCTTTATGATTTTTAATTCATCATTCATCTTAAACTATTAAACCACGTAATTTAAATTTTTAACAACTTAAATTTTAAACAACGCAAATTATATCCGTCTAAATTGTTAACAATTAATCACCATTAAAAAAATTTTACTTAGTGTATTAATTGTGAAAATTAAAGTTTAATATGACAGACGCATCTGCAACCTTGCCAAATAAAACAGCACATTTTTATAAATTAAGTCTGTTGTGATTGGATTGTCAAAATCCAATGGGCGTGAATAAATTACTTTTAAAATATTCAATTTTTGATTTAAAAATACGTAAAGCTTAATATAAATCTATTTTATACCTAGTTTTAATATTCAATTTCAAATTTTAATAATATACTTTTGTTTGAAAAACCAACTACCAATTTATTTTAAAACATTTTAAGTGTTGTAGCAATGTAGGTAAATAAGAATAAATATGTAGGTTATACTTTGTAGGTATGTACTTTGAAAGACAAACAATATATCTCAATAATATTAAAACTAATTGAATATATCCGAAATTTTTTTTTAATAAATAAATAAATTAATTAATAAAAAACATTATAAAAAACAAAGAACAAGAATAACAAACAAATTTATTTAAAAATCATATATCTAAAATACCGGAGGATTTTATGAACATGACGGTATCTAATATATCTATATATTAAAGAAACACCTATGAATTAAGGAAATGAGTATTTGTGTTATGAAAAATAAACAAGGAAATATTAGAAGATTAGTATATTAATTTAAAGGAATTAAGTGTACTATAATCAAAGAATAATCATTATATGTGTAATTTTAGAGGATAACGGTGTTGAATAATTTTATTGATAGTGTATGATATATTAAAATATTTGACATGTGTCTAATGTAATTATTAACATAATTTACATTTAAGTGAGGAAAAATTAATTGAATTATTTAGAATGTGTTAAGTAAATATATTGCAAATTTTGTTAAATACTATTAAAAAAAAAATTTAAAAAATGTGGACTAAAAAAATTGAAAGTGCTTTTTTACAGTACTTTACGCGTTTTATTTCTGTTTTATTAAGATACATTATTAAAAATAAAACTAATTAGACCAAATAAGACTTTTGGTTTTTCATTATTGTAAAACCAATGTATTCTATACTCATTTAAATTGAATTCTAAAAATAACTAAATTATCTGCTGGAATACCTATTTACAGCCTATTAATTCAATTAATTACGTGTTCTATAAAAGAATAATGTAATTTTAATGAAATATAATATTCATGTAAAAAATCGTGTTGTCTTCATTTCTCACAAGCAAGGCATTTAGCCATACGCAGTAGTGTGCTTCATTTTTTTTTTGGATGGGAGGTTCAATATTTTTTCTCTCACGTATTTCAAATGTATTTATTTCATAAGATAATTTTGGTAATAATTAATTTTATAGTACTACATAGATCGACAATGGTTTATAGTATATAAATAACCCTGGAAAATATTTATAATGTTAAACTTAAATTATATAAAAATATTAAGCAATACGTTTTTTCTAAATTCGTTACAAATTTGAGGGGGAAAGGATTGAATGTACTCCTAAACGTAAGCTCTATGTCTCTATCCATGTACCTAATTTATCATTCACAAATATACATACCTATTAAATTTTGTATTCAAAAGATTAAGAAATAAATTTAAAATTAAAAAAAAAATGTTGAAGATCAACGTGCGTTTAAATAAAAAATACGTTAAATATACTAATGATACGGTTAAGTCTTACATTTTTCTCTTTTATTCAGGTATCTGTATTCAATATGACGAAATTACATTTTTTATTTTAATTTTATCAATTCCAAATAATAACATTTGGTTTTTTATTTTTATTAAAATAATGAGATCATGAGTAATTTTACAATACACCTTGAGAATACGACGTTCAGTTGTGCACTACAAAATCAAAGATTATTTGCATATGCATTTTTATTAGCTATAAAATTGGTTAAGTTTACTGCACGGGAAATCCACAAAACCTATCGAAAAATGTACTTAATATCTTTGAATACCAACACATGTATTTTTTTATTTCCACGCCAGCATTTCATTCTTATTTACTGATATCTAAAATTTGTTTTTTTACTTTTCTGATCCAAAATAACTATTTGATTTAAATGTGTTATAAAATTATACTTGTATGTCACAAGAATCTAGGACAAAATATCCTGTACTAAAATATCCAGGGATAAAATAACCAATGTATAGGACAAAATATCCAAACAAGAAAAATCTGTATATCTGTAACAACATAATTTTTTTATTTATTTTTTATTTAGATACATTGTTCAATTTTAAATTGAAATTAACATTACTTAATATTTTATAATATAGTCATAAAATAATATTAGTAAAAATATAACTATGTTACGTTGTAACGCACTACATAAAGCTAAAGGTATAATTATTATGTAACACAAAATATTATTTTTATTATTATTTTATAATTGTATTATAAAGTATTATTAATGTTAAATGTCATTAAAATATGATCCAAAAATGAACAATAATATATTTAAATAAAAAGAATTATACAGGTATTAATAATACAGATTTTAATAATTTTTTTTATTTAGATATTTTGTCCTTTATATTGGTTATTTTATCCCTAGATATTTTATCCATTGGATATTTTAACCTTGGATATTTTGACTTGGATATTTTACTACAGGATATTTTTTCCCAATACCATGTCACAAATATATATTCCACTGAACAATCCTGCGTGAAAAACGTTGAGACTAAACAAAACACCCATATACATAGCATATTGCAGCATATTGCGTTTCTATAGGCGAGTCAGTTTTCGACCAAAACCGTACCCTTCCCTTTTCGATCGATTCATTTTTCGACCAAATTTAAAATAGGCCGATTCCTTTTTCGACCAAAACAAAAATTTATATACTTAATTAAAAATAATAAATTAATGATATACAATGTTTGATTATTATGGAAAATACTATAATATATTATTGACGATTCAGGGTTTTACTCGCGTAGCGAGGTTTTAGGTTCACATACAGAACATAATCCCATTTTCAACAGTATCAAGGTTTGTACAAAAACTAGGTTAGGCTTAGACTATAATTCTCCTTAAGGCGAAGCCCCATCTCCCCGAAAAGTGCCACGCAGTGGCACTCGAGTTTGTGAATGGAGCCGGTAGGCGTAACGAGCGAAGTCCTAAAATTTTTAAATTAAAGTTCCGATTTTTCGAAAAAAAAATGCAAACAATTTTCATTACGATAAGAAATCAAAACTAGATACAAAGTATCGTTTTTTTTTTATATTAATATTTTAATAATTATTGACAACAATTGTAAATCATTATTTTATTATTTTAAATTTATTATATCATTTTTTGTTTTGGTCTAAAAGTGAATCGGCCGAAAAGGAAAGGGTTACATTTTTGGTCGAAAACGGCCATGCCCGTTTTTATGGACCCATTATAACATGGAAAAGTATAAGTAAATTATAACAATTACGTTGATTATTCTCATTTTTAAATAGCGCTTGTTGAATAAAACGACTAAACATTCGTTGCGCGTACCTGCATAAAACTTATATATATTCCAATATATTGCTTGTAATGCGCAAACCTTTACAGCGATTACTATACTTATCCTTCGTATGCAGAATATAAAACCAATCGAGTTTATTGTGCATTCATCAATTCTTTGAGTTATTGGTATTCCTCTAACCGGTACTATTACGATTGTATCTAGTTAGGTTTCATTCAATTTCTAACATGTTTGAAATTCGGATTTACGTGTCCATGTAAGTGCATTGAAAACTATAAAAATGATTTAATCAGTCGATCATTTTATTTCATTGAAATCGTAATTAAAAAAAAAAATCACTTGAATACTTAATTAAAACCATAATGACTTTTATTACGATATTTTTCACATTTTATAACTGTGTTGAGATAACATCAATGAAAATTAAAATATTGGACACATTATTTTCTAGTGTCGCAACAATCATTATTCAATATACGGATATACATTACCATAAATGCATCAATCCAATGATGTAGTCGTAAAAATGTATTCAGCATACGCCAAATAGTAGTATAATGAAATTTAAGATTCAGGGAAACAATCAAAATTGAAATTAAATATTTCAAAATGCTATCTTTTAGTTAAAGTTAATAGTTTACATTTATTCACGATGGTATTAAACAATTTAGTGTTGACTATACTTAACAATTCACAACAATAATGGTCATGAGTTAGGATATATGTTTAATATATCCGTTGT